TATATATATATATATATATATATATATATCACCTAGTATTCGATTCCATACTAACATACATTGATGCATGACCAGATATGTAATTGTAACCAGCAACTCACCTTGGGCAACTCATTTTCCTGCTGCAGATTTTCACTCTTCCTTTCAACAAAGAGACGATTTTCAGCTAAATCAGTTTGAGCTGCAATTTGAAACAAAAACAGAAAGTCGGGATATAGATCTTCAGTGCAGTTAAAAAAAAAAAAATAAAAAAAGAAAACTAATTAATAGTATTTTCAGTGTATGATGATATACTCACATTTTGTAAAGTAACATGTGGTTCCTCTGGTCTATGAGATAATAAAGATAAAGATGTGCAGGCAGGCTCTTTCAACAGTTTCTGAGGTCTTCGTTGTGAGCTCGGTAATAATAAAGGAGCACGTTCTGTGACATCATATCTGCCTGAGGCTGTAGTTCAACCAATCAAATGAGGTTTCTTTGTTTTTGTGTCTCACCTTCACAGGGCAGTCGTCTGAGGTGTGCATACTCAGAACAATCCATATATGGACTAATTCTGAGGTTACCTCATGGTTAAAATCCTTTCAACAGTAAAAAAAAAAAATAGAACAAAGATCTTAGCATTAGCATGTGTTGGGTTTGAAATTCTTTATATGTAAAGGTAAACACGGACAGAGTCAAAGAAAACCGCACTGTGTGTTCTTGAAGTCACTTGTTATGATTCTGCTGCTATTTTTGTTCTTCAGTTTGCTCTGTCTGCTTTGTGTTTTGGATTTCCACCTGGACTTGTAGACCTTTAATTATGTCTACTACCTTTAGCAGGTTTCTGCCTTGACCCTTTGTTAATTTCAGTTGATTGATTTATGTTATATTTCTTTTTTACACTACAGGGGAAATGGAATTGATTAATCTTGTTTACTCTCTGTCTTTGTATTCACTGTAACTGACACAGCATTATTAAATGCTGTGTCAGCTACAGTGAGTGCAATAAATATTTTTTAGACGTTTTAAGCTATTATTTTCTTATTGAACTTTCCTTTTATTTTAATTTGCACTTAATATAGATAAAATGTTTTATTTGGAAGATTTGGAGGTAGCAAGTTGTTTTGCGATTCAAATTAATGTCAAAAGGGTAAAACAAGTGCCCAAATTTTCTCTGTATTGTGCCTAAATTTTGTCTCATGCATGCATACACTTATGCTTTTTGTTTTTAGATTTTATTTTACATACAGTTATAGTCAAAAGCTATCACATGAGAATCCCAAAAGAAAAAAAAAAAAATGCCAGTCAGGTCCCAAAAAAAACTTGAGACCTGTGCAGCAGTTTACCTTTTAGCAGGACGTCATCACACAAAGCTAAAGTTACAACTGATGGTGTTAGACTTTTAAGTGCAGAGTCTAATGCACTTGAGAACTGCTGGGATCACTTTTGCAATGGAAAGTAAAAGTAGACATTTTTTTGTCATAAAACAACAGTGCGTTCCTTGATCAGAAATAAATTAGGATGTTTTTTTTTTTTTTTTTTATCTCAAATTCAAAATGTTCTGTGAAAATTTTTCAGAATAATATTTATTTTTCGAACATTTTTAGTTATTAGAAACAAAACACATACTTCACAATGTTACCTAAAGTTAGTTTATATAGACCAACAACAACAAACTTGTTCTGAACTGGTTCTCATCAAAGGAAGCCGGTTTTGACTTTGTACTCCTCCTAGAGTTGTCTTGCACGTCTCAAGCTGTACCATGGTTAGTATGAAACTGAATGAAAACGGCTACTGAAATTCAGTTTCTATGACAGCATATGTCCCCAGAGAAGTTTTTATGATTTCTCTCTATAAGACTAACTCATGACCCAACCTTACTCTGGACATAGCCCAGAACATTTTAATTGCAAATCATAATGGTATGCTCCTCCTGATCTGGTTCTGTTAATTTGAAATTATGCAGTGACGAACAGTTACCTCTGCATGTGAGCCAAGAACAGGGTGGATATCGAATAATGATGTGCCAAACCTTTAGTTCAAAGAACTAGATCGTGTGAAAATGCATCTTATCAACCTGTCCAATCCTTTATTTTTTTCTGTCACTAGTTCACCCATTAAGTATAACTTACATAAGATTAGTTTGCAGAATAATCTAAGTTGTTTTGGATCCTTGGCTCTCACTTGGCTCTCACTCGTCTTATCCTATGTCATATCCTCTATTCTGTTCAGACAGACTGCCAAGCTGATGTAAGGGGGTTTCGCTGCAACATGTTTTTTGTACCAGGAACTCCTCTCACTTCCATTACACTGACCTGAGGCTGGCTTATATAACCAAACTTACTTAAGATGTGTTAATGACGATTGAAAAACTTGCAAAAATTTCACCAATTTCATCTGCTTTTGCTCACCTTGATATTTAAGCATTTAGTACTGCAGAGGAATGCGAAACTCTCCTACTTCATTGAGTCTCCCAAACATTGGTTTCACCTCATCGTGGCAAACATGGATTTACAAAGTGGCTGACATTGTTCTTCCACTTTGGAAATCTGAACAAAGCTGTTGGTGTTCCTAGCTTATGGGGACTACTATCTCCTCCAGAGGCTACGTATGGATGACAGTCACTTTTATAAGTACTTCCACCTATCTGTGATCCAATTGAGGCCTCTGCTTTCCTGCAATGGGGGACAGATAACCTCGATATCAGAGGCTAGGTTAGACAGCATTCTGGAGCTCGACAGGAGCTGCTGGAAATCAGTGCAAGAAAACCGGCATAGAAAAAAAAACAGAACCAAGACCAGGCTGCCAGCCTCTGAAACTATGGAACCGCAGTGGCAAATCAGAGGATCCACCCTGGGAATCAGCACACTAGAGTGCTATAGGCAAGCTATACGTAGATGTGGTGATCCAAAGCTATAGAGCAGCACAGCAGTAGATTGGTTAAGTCAGGCATCCAGAGGGGTCACTGTCCTGCAGGTTAATCTTTAGCACAGTTTATTCTGATTGTTGCAGTTCAGCAAAAGCATGTTAATTAGCTATGTATGAAAATCAGCTCTGCTGGAGGAGGGAAACCTCTAAAACCTGCAGGACAGTGACCCTCAAGGACCAACTTTGGGCATGCCTGCGATAAGTCTACCGGGAAGAGAGAACACTGAAGGCGGGAAAGAGATTATGGTTTCCTGGGAATAGGAAAGTGGTACATCGGAGCAAGAGGAATGAAAAAATTACTGAGGAGATTACCAAAGCTTGCCAGGGACACCATCAGAGCTGTGGAGGAAAGGAATCTGTCGCCGTCGTAGGTTTATTAAACAAAAGGTCCTCCAACGACCAAATTGAAACGGCTCATTTAAAAACTCCCTGAAATCCTATTAAGAGCATTCCTATCTCCTCCTTTGTCAATATTATTTTCTCCATTGGAAAATAGGGGGAAATTATTTTAAAAAGCTGGTCTACGCTGCTCTTCTTCACTGTAGTTCATAACCACATCTATTCCCTGTCTAGATTTTGACGCAAATGTAAACTCAGCAAATTTTTCAACTTCATTCGCAGGTGAGGAGGCGATTAAATGTCTACTTCAACAAAATCGTGCTGTTCGCCTCCCTATATTCGCCACCGTCGCCTATCTCAGCTTTACTCTGCTTTGCTTCGCTCCAGATCCCCTCTACATAGAAATAAGATGGGAATCTTTGGCTCCAGCAGCGGAATACATGTTCGGTGTGAACGTACCTTTATAGCTAAAAGATGAGGCCACATCTAAATAAGACAAATATACCTTGCACAACAATAAAAACATATGTATTATACCAAAACATATTTATATAAGAGCACTGAGGGTTCATCTGATTGTTGCCAGGGACCTGTCCTTTTATCAACCTTTTTCCAGCATATATCTACTACAGTGAATGTGACCAGAAACACAGAGTTGTTATCCATTTTTCAGCAACATAATCCTTACTTTTTGCACCCTTCTCGTTAAAGCTAGATTTTTGGATCACACATGTCTGTACTTCCAAATATTTTAGATTTTTTTTCGTAATTCATTTACAGTGTATTCCTTGGACTGCTTGTGGGATTAAATAGTCTTCTAGATTTTCAGTTAGCTTTACTATCATGTCAGTATGCAGTTGTGCTATGACCTGCTCATTTTCAGAAGGTTCTTTGATCAGTAGTCCATGAGATGTTCAAAGCTAGGGATATTGATTTATAACTAAATGCTTAACGCTTCTGCACAGTGCTGTCCCTAGCTTATCTGATGTCTTTGGGGTGCTGTATATTCACTATTTTACTCCAGAATACCCATGAGACCTTATAAAACAGCTACATAAATAGAGATCGTATTACACCCAAATGATTGAGGCAAAACGGAAATTGTGGTCATAACCATGGAAACTCTGAAATCTAAAGAGGTTTGGGTCAAATGAAAAAAGAAAAACCTTACCCACAGTTAGTATGGAGAAATAATAAAGGTTCTTTAAAAAAATGACAAAAAATGCTTTGTTATCTTTGTAACATCTCATATTTCAAACTGTCTTGTAACCATGGGTAAACCTGGGATAATTATCCAAATACCATTGCAGTAGTCATTTGTTGTTTTTCTGTCAAAGCTAAGGAAATTTACTGCCATCAAATAGTTATGAATTCTGCCAAAAGGCTTTTGAGTTGAGCTCATGTGCCTCCATTTGATGCTTGTCCTGGAATATATTTTCAAATCGTAATACTGACTTTTAGAGCCTTGCATGGTCAAGCCCCTGAATCTTTGATCTGTTTCAGCGTTACATCCAAACTTACCCTAAGGGCAGGGAACTAGAATACGTACATTACTGAGATTCCAAAGTCCACCTAGTTTCACCTTGGGCCTAGTTATCTGATAATATATATAAGCTAGTGTCAGGTAATACTTGTCTTACTTCTAACAGCCTACTTCCAATGTTTCACAGACTACTTTAGGAAACAAAATAGTCACTAAGTAGCCTAAATCCTTGACAGACTATAAGACTATAGGAATAATAAGTCTCAAGAGTATTAACAAAAATTACAATTACAAAGAAGTCTGATTGCCTCCAATTTAAGCTTGTTTTGTGGGTGCCATTAACCAGATGACTGAATTTACACAGGCATTTTTCATTTCAGTGGTAAAGGTTATTCAAAAATAACAAAATATCCACAAATTCTCTTGAATTTTGTATGCTTCATTCATTAATAATGATTAGCAGTGTTTTGCAATGACATCAGTAAAATAATAAACAAATCATAAAAATTATTTGATTATCCAGTGGACCAAGTAGATGATTGTGGCACTCATAGTCCACAGAGTTTGGTAATGTACAACAACATATTGAGCTTTTTTATCTAATGACCGGAGAAGCTATGACTAGATAAAGGACTTCTATGCTGTAACCCTG